CTCGTTGAACACCCGCTGGGAGTGCCATGCCTTCGGGTCCACGGCGTAGACGACACCTCGAGGGATGCGTAGCCCTTCTTGTCCTTGCAGTCCTTGAACTCGCGCTCGATGCTGTTGGCGGCAGGGGCCTTCCTCTTCGGCGTGGGCTGGCCCTTGAAGATGACGAGGGGCGGTNGGGGCGGCAGCTTGCTGCCGTCGGCGAACACCGTCAGGACCGAAGTGATGCGCATCTTCTCCTTGCCGCCGGTTTTGACGCCAACCTCCTTGTCGCCGGTGCGCTGCGGGATTCCATAGAGCAGCGAAAAGCGACGTCAACGTCGGGTATGCAGAAACGATTTTTCATGTCAAGCTTGAAAGTGAGAGCAGCGGTTTTAAAAAAATATAACCAAAATCAGCGGAGGACAGGACGCCCAAGAAAAGACGGAAACTACGCATGTGCATATAACTTGTACACTCAAACTAGGTACGTACATGTATGGAGGCCAAGATAGGGATCGCTATATCGAACGAAGCATGAGGGAAAACTAGGGCAAAAAAGAAACAACCAGGCACTCACGTTCACAGTGTTGTTCCCCGGGTTCTCCATCCACGTAGGAGTCTCATCCATGTTGGCGATCTGCGCCAAGGCGAACTTGGGACTCGGCCCCGACGGAACTCCAGCGCCACTCCCACCCCCGCTGCCGCTCGCGCTGCCTCCCGCCACTGCCCCTAGGCATTTNACTCCAGCGCCACTCCCACCCCCGCTGCCGCTCGCGCTGCCTCCCGCCACTGCCCCCAGGCATTCGACTCCGTCCGCAAGCTCGAGCGCGGAAGGGACGTCGTACTTCAGCCTCCTCCACTCCTTGATCGCCTGCATGGCGATCACGGGCCAGCCGGTAGGAAGTTTCTGGCCTTGACGGGTGACGGCTCGCACAGAAAAGCGGTAGACCCTGAGAAACCTTCTGCACCACGCGGTCTTCTTGCGGGTGTACCGCAAGTTGCCCTCGATGTCGGACGTCGGCGGCCTCTCCCCGAAGAAGTTCGGGTTGAGTTCCGTGGCCTAGTTCTTGATCATCCTCGTCGAGACACGTGCGGAGATGCCGTCAGAACGCAGATCATTGATCCAGTCCACGACCTCGCGTTCGGCGTCCGTGTGCGTCCTAGTCCGTCCGACGTTCAGCGACATGCGGTGCTTGGCTTTCTTCCTGCCCTTCACTCGCGAGTACTTGGTCTCCTCCGCAAGCGCGGCTTCGTACTTGTCGACGTCCTTGACCCACGCCGCCAACGTGGCCTTGTCGGGGATCTTGAGGATCCTGCTGGCGTATGTTACGCCAACAGTCCCGCCCGGTCCTTGCGCCCCCTTGAGCTTTCTCCGCGAGTACCTCACGGCATCCACCTTGAACTGCAAGGTGTAGCGCGCTTCCTTTGGGTTCCACCACCATGGTCGGGAATCGGGAAGTCCGGCGGCTTCAGCTCCAGTCGCCCTTTCTTCCTCTTGGCCCTTGTTCTGTGCCGGCGCACCGAAGAGAACGCCGCCGAGCCCATCTCCCCACTCTGTCTCTCCGGGAAACATCATGTTGCCGGATTTGCCATCGTTGGCCACTGGAGCTCCTGACGCTGGTGCTGGTGTGGGTGTTGCTGCTGCCGCTGCTCCTGCGCTTCCTGATTCTGGAGCTAGTGCCGGTGCTGGAGCTGGCGCTGATGCTGGAGCTGGCGCCGGCGCTGCTCCTGATGGCGGCGCTCCGGGCGTGGAGCCCGCCCTACAAAAAGACAAGAGTAGACATCATGTGCGGGATGGAACGAAGCGGTCAATGTTGGAACGCACGAAAACATGTGTCGTGTGGGTAGAACCCAAAGATTCCTTTCATAAAGTGCTGGCTGACTGTTATAGTCGAAAGGGCACCGTTTCCAATTATCCAAATACCGTTTGCGGTTGAAAGTACCGTGAGGGTGAACAAAAAATTGCGAAACAGGCACGGATGCACCATCTAGGTACCGGTAAATCAGCGGCAACAATGCTGCGATAATTACAATTGTTATAATTTTACCATTCGTGGGTGAATATAACACATGTGCATAGCAGAGAACAACAACTGGAAAACTCCTCAGGTATGCCAGCTGCAAACAAAGCTGCGGTATTTCCGCAACACAAAACGCCATGCAGGAACAAAAATAAATATATGCCTAGGTACAAACATACACACACATTTTGGTCCTTGTTCTCGTCCGCTTTGGAACACTCACACACACACACACACACTACAACCGGTCGCCCCGGTGGTCTAGTGGGTAACCTCGCAGTCTGCTAAGGGCCAGGTCATGGGTTCGAGTCCCGGCAGAGTGAGTGTTTCTCTCACTCAATGAATCTTGCTCTAGGATCAAAGCGACGCGCTGCAAAGCTCGTTGTTAGTTAACCATAATCGACTTCGTAAGTCGCGAGAGAAGGGATTGCTGTACCCTTCTCGCGATAAAAATACCTCAGGCAGGAACCGCAGGAGGGGGTCCAGCTCCCCTCTCCTGTGTGACCCCGGTTGGGCTGTCTAGCTAGTAGAAGTGGAGCATAGGGGCGGAAAGGGCAGACGACAGAGTCCAATGATGGGAGATTAAAAAATAAACTGCATTTGACGACGCGTCCGTCTCTCCCGCCGGTGCTGCGGCTGTGCAGCATGTTCAAGTAGTGTCCCCACCAGACGAAAGCACGGCGGTGCCGTTACCTGTTGATTGCCAGACTACTGTGTGGGCGACGGGGCGTTTGCTGGTTCTCCGTTTTCCGTGCGATACTACGTTGATGATGGCGTGTTGATTGAAGGGAGATTTTTCGCTGATGGTGGCCGATGCTTGCGCGCGGTGCGTTCTCTCGCTACGGATCACTTTCGTCTGCTGGTAGAGAGAGGCCCAGCAGACCCTCCGTTGTTGTGGCAAGGAAAGATCACCGATTTCGCTACCCGTCTGGATGTGTTGGGTTGGACATTGGACACTCAGCAACTCACGATTACTATGACCGACACGAAACAGCAGAAACTGGGACGCATTTTGGCTGCGTGGCCCGCGACTCGGAGAGTCGCTACAGCTCGTCAAGTAGCCGAGTTGACAGGGTTTCGCATGCACGTTTCGTTCGTGTTTCGTCCAGGAAAGTTTTTTGTGGGGCACCTTTTATCCGCGGTAGGGATGCCTGCTTCGTCTACGTTCGCGTCCCAAGTGCCCAGCCCGAACAGACGTGTAGTGCTGGGTCGATTATTCCAGGNGACACGAAACAGCAGAAACTGGGACGCATTTTGGCTGCGTGGCCCGCGACTCGGAGAGTCGCTACAGCTCGTCAAGTAGCCGAGTTGACAGGGTTTCGCATGCACGTTTCGTTCGTGTTTCGTCCAGGAAAGTTTTTTGTGGGGCACCTTTTATCCGCGGTAGGGATGCCTGCTTCGTCTACGTTCGCGTCCCAAGTGCCCAGCCCGAACAGACGTGTAGTGCTGGGTCGATTATTCCAGGATGATCTCGAATTTTGGCGGTGGTTCCACGGGCGTGGTCTCTCGTTGCGCGGCGGAAGTTTGTGTGCACCCATGTACAACATTTTGGAACGCCCGCCGGCACTATCCGTGTTCAACGATGTGTCTAAGCAAGCAATTGGAGGGTATTGTTTGCAAACGGGCCACTACTTTCGATATGATCTGTCTGTGGAAGAGCAAGCTTGCTTTGTGGGGTCGAGCAAATCGGTCCAGGGGGTTAATGATGTCAGCATCAACGTGTTAGAGCTCCTTGGCATGGTCATGGGGGCGTGGGTGTTGGTATTGGGTCGAAATCACCAGCCTATGGAGGCGGGTGATTGTGTGCGACTTCGAGGAGACAACGAAGCAGCGACGGCGTGGATTGAGCGTTGTCGGGGGGGCCTTGAGCCTCGATCGGGGGCGCTGGTGCGCCTACTGGGGGCGCTCGAGGTAGCCAGCGGGTGGCATTTCCACGCGACCCATGTTCCCGGCAAACTCAACTCGCTTGCTGATGGTATCTCACGTTGGAATACTAACGATGTTCATGATATCCTGTGCGCTGCCTCCCCTCATGTGGCGTGGCAGATCGTGGAGTTAGGCCCGACGGAGCGCGAGTTATGCTCCACCGTGCTGGCTTCGAGCTCGTCCGGCACGCACTTACCTGGGATATTTTGGAGCGTGGGTGAAGTTTCGAGAGGACGTTGTGGGGAGACCGGCGTTTATGATGCCGTCGTCTCCATCGCCGGACATTGTTTCGCAATTGTTGGAGCACGTGGCATACGCGGTCACAGTGTTGGGCTTGAAGCAGACGACGATAGCTGGTCATTTGTCTGCTGTTAATTGTTTTCACCGCTTGTCGCATGCGATGGAAGTTGATACATGCCATTCTTTGATCAAGCAGACGCTCAAAGGGGTGGCGCGAGGGCATGCGGGTGTTGGTGCACAGCAACGGGTGCGACGTCCGGTGTCGTGGTCGATGCTGAAGGAAGGGGGGCGTCTGGTGCCACAGTGGGGCACGGGTGGGCGCGTGTTGTTTCTGGCGTTGAGTGCGTCATTTTTTTTCTTGATGCGGGCATGCGAAATGTTCGCTGTGTCCTCGTTGGCCATGGATTCTTGTCATGGGTTGCGTCGGGGGGACGTGGCGTTTTTTTTGGGTTCTCGCCAGTTGCCTCCGGAACGGAGGGGAGAGGCCGACAGAGTCGAGGTGCGGTTTCGGTCGTCGAAAGGCGACCAGTTTCGGAAGGGCGCCGTGTGTACGCGGGCGAGGCCGGGGCCTCCCCAGTCTGTGGAGTGTGGGGGGGGGTGCGAGTCGATGTGATGATTGAACTCCTGTCATGCTACCCTGTTCTCCCTTCGTCTGCTCCGTTTGTCGCGTTCGGAACCGGGGAGGGGCGATGGTCCGTGTGGACTCGTCGTCACGCGACGGAAGCGCTGCGGCAAGTCGTG